GAGAGAGAGAGAGAGAGAGAGAGAGAGAGAGAGAGAGAGAGAGAGAGGAATCTGTGATGAAATTGCAGAATGGAATTAATAGGCTACACCATGAGTTGACAATTAAAGATGGTACAGTCAGTCCAACGTCATTGAGGAAGGACAAGGAACAGTTTGCTATGAAAGAACAAGGAAGTAATGTGCTGTGCATGATGACAGTGGAAAATCTAATCCTGGAGACGACATATAAATAAACAATAAACATATTGCTGCCATGGAAAAACAAGAAATATTTTCCAAAATATAATAACACAGCAAATTACTTAGTTTTAACATAACTTGTTATTAAACAGCATATCACTTTATCTTGTTAAATCACAAAGATTCCTTTCTCTTTATCAAAAACTACCGACATAACCTATCAAAATAAAATAAAAACGTTTGTTTTTATAATGATAAACCAACTTAGCACATGACAAGAAACTTTTCTGGTTATAACATAAGTTGTTATATTGTTATAACATTAAAGCTGTGCTCTTCCATCCCGGCAAGAAAAGAATCCAGTCAATGGCAGAAGACAAGACACTGTAGCCTTTAGAAACAATGACAATGACTGGTTTACATGGTTTTTAAAACTGCATCATTTGGGAAGTAATAATAACGAAAAAATAAAAATATAACACGGAAATATCTTGATAGGACTGTAAGAGTATTTATTTTATCCACACCAGTGCTGTGGAGAGGATCCCAATGTTGATGGATTGCCATGAAGCTTGTCAGACATTCATGGTCCCGAGAGGATGAATACATTTTGGTGATCCGCTGACCTTTCTTCTAGCGCCACCAGCTGGTCAAAGTTTTCACTTATCAATCACATCTCAACACCTACTCCTTGAGCCGGACATCTTATACAAACATTCATGCTCCGACTACATTTGGTGACATTTCCCTTTAGCCTCTGCTCTACCTTGTGTTCAGTGCTAAATTAGCAATTGGTGCGAAAAAAAGAAGAAGCATGCTAACAGGCTGTACTGACACGGTGAACCTGGTAAACAGTATACCTGCTAAGAATGTTAGCATCACCATTGTGCGCATGTTAGCGTGCTGACATTAGCATTTGGTTGACGCTGTGCTAGCAGTGAGTACAGCCTCAAAGAGCTTGTTAGCATGGCTGTAGACTCTTTGCGGTCCAATAGTCCAACAACTTATGTCCTATATCTTTTCTGAGACATTTCTCCTTGACCTCATGACGTTCTTCATCGAGGTCAAGGAAAAATGTCTCGGAAAAGATATAGAACGTACGTTTTTTGTGAAGGAGAATTCATTAGGATTTAGGAATAGACTGCACTTCTGCTACAGCAGATGCAACTTTATTTAACACTCATAGAAAATGTGTACAGTGACAAACTCGATGCTTTATGATTTAATTAAAGATTCCTGTCCAGGACAGAATCACACCTAATGGAGCATCGCTTTAAACGTTGCTGCCGCAGAGAATTGTGGGACAGCATTGTCTTTCCTTCCTTTCATAAAGGGTGGCACAGTGTATCCTAAAGGAGATAAGAAAGGAAGCATTCTTTCCTTAGCATTTAGAGAATTCGACCAGCTCTTAGAACTTATAGATACTTTACTCAGTTAGGAAGCTAAGTATAGTTGCGAGTATTTGACCGCAGCCTGAGTATTGTGTTGGCATGGTGGCTGCAATATGCTGCTGTGGAAATCAGCTTCCTTTGCCTGGTGTCACACAGAACCCGTTGTGGAGTGGGCGGATCCAAAGGTCTGCACCCGGGTGAAGCATTAGTGGGATTGTGCAGTGATTTTTCTTCCAGTCAAATGAATCGTTTTAAAGATAAGTTGCAACACTTTTCTGCCTGCAGCTCCACTCTCCACTCAGCTTATTGTTTCATAAAGCGTTAGCTGTCAGTCAACCAACACAGCTCTCACCATTCTAAATCGGGAGCGCCTACAACATGTACAGTTTCAGTGCTATCAGCACACACCTTCCACTATAAGAAGTTTAGGCATTTAACTGATACTAAAAGTAGACTACAACCCGCACAACAGCTGATACTCTACTATATAAATAGTACTTAAGTACTAGAAAGTAACTAAGGTACAGTTACTAAAATACTGTTTGTGCAATTTTGAGGTTACATTCTTAATCAGTCACAATAATCCAATGGTAATATAAAATAAATAATGGACCATTCCTTCTAATGAGCACTTTTACAATTTGACTTAAGTGAAATATAAAATGTTTTTGTACTTAACAGAGACACTTTTGTAGTGTACTGTCCCATTGCAAATACTGTTGCTTTTATTACGTTTGTATGTTAAAGCAAAGAACAGCAGTGTATGACTGCATCATGTACAACGTTCCCATGAGTATCTTGGTGGGAGGATAGAGTCATGAGAACCTTAGAAGGTCATATCATTTCATCACACGTACAACTGGTTTGTCAGATGAAAAGGAGAACATCAATTTACCTTTATTAGTTTATTAATACATCACTATGCTTTCAATGTTTGTTAACATTGTGTTCATATGTGCAGTAATCAAACATTCTGTGAACAAAATGTCAACAGAAGCCAGGATACAGTATCACATCAAATATGTGGTGTAAATATGACTGCATGGAATGATCATATATGATTTTATCATACTGTGTGCATTAAACTTAAATGTTCAATGACACTCAAATGCTTTTAGTGCTCACACTTTAACTGTATTTAACTCTTTATAGCTCTTACGGACACTCACCCATCTACGGCGCACATGAACCTGAGACCTGGAAATGCTTTCGCTGATCAGCTTCAACTGATTTCCAAGTGTTCACTTTTTATTGCAACTGAAACTTTCGGCCCCTTTCGGTGCTTACGATTTAAAGTGACACGGCAAGTGCTTCCATTGTTGACATTTCAATAGCCACTTCAAGTGCTTTACGCTCAACTAACACCTCAACTCCTTTGAACTTTGGCCGTAACTCGCATTCATTTCAGTATATGATTAACCTTTCATGAACCTATTTAGATATTTACAGCCATTTTCAGCATACTTTTTCTTTAGGCCTTTCCTAGCTTTCTATTTTATTATAGCTTTTAGTGTAAAATGAAATTGATTAAAATACAATGTATGCTCTTATCCTACAGTAAAGCATTTATTCTTTCTCTTCTTCTTTCTCTTTTCTTCTTTCCTTCTCTCAGAGCCCAGAGTCAAATCAGACAAGATCAATATGAGTACTACTGCCCCTCCAGGAGACATACCTGTAACTGATCCAAGACTCCTACACAGTAAAAACACACACACACACACACACACACACACAGTGTGTTTGCATGAGTGAATGTAAGTAATTAGGTGTGTGTGAGAACCCGTCTTTGACAGGAGTGTGTGACAGCATGCCAGACAAACCTACCATTTAGCTACACCAACAGTTCATTTCACCTCCTTGCATTCTTTAGGTTAACATACTGATGGCATGACTAAGTGAGCAAAGCAGCAGAGAACAACGGCGACACAAGTCAGGCGTTGAGGGAACAAGCCGTAACACACACCCAAGTGACTCAAATACTACTTTGCTCTTTTTGTGTTTGGTATTGACTTCACAGGTCTAAAGGCGCAGGAAAAGAACTGTCAAAAACAGCGCAGTGTGTGCTCTGTGATTTTGCAGGTTACGTGCAGCGTGGGCGGCTGGGGAAGTCTCTGTTCCACTTTGGGGGAGTGAAGCTGTGCAACCCCTTTCTTTTCCACGCTGCCCGGTGCTGTCACCTTTCACAAGTTGTTCAGCTTCACTCCAGAATACTTCTTTCCATTTCTGCCTCACACCGCACACCCACCAAACCACCATGTATTTTTAGAAAGATCAAAACATTGTGTGGCGACTCTTTTCTAGAGAATGACATATTCGATCAACAGTGACTGTGTGCTTTGTGGTTGGGTATACTGGTATACCGGTGATCACAGACAGAATTCAAGTTCATTCTTGCAGCTGCAGTCCGATATCGCCTAACACAGACTTCTTTAAAGCTTACTCATCGTGGATAAGTTCTTGGTATGTCTTGTGCTTCATGTTACAGATGCTTTCCTGTAACTTAGCCTGACATGTTTGCATCTGTGGTATCACAGTTATTATCTAGTTTAGTTTATAAGATTACTTTTGTTGTATTTTAACTTATCTCACACCTAAACATTCTTCTAACCATTTGCCTTGAACTTTCAGCCAGAGACACATTAGCTTTGAGTTAGTGGAATGAGAGGTTGGGGTGTTGCATCACTGCAGCTCTACCAGGTGGGTGGAGGGAGACACCAGTGAATTCCCTCAGTGTTTTGGAGACAGACATTTTCCATAACCACATTTTATGAATGCAAAAAAACACAAAAAACAACACCTACTTGTTAGAAACTAAAGTCAAAAGGTGGGGTATTAATCATCTGCCACATTTGAGCAGTGTGTACAGGGAAAGTGGAAGTAACTAACAAGAGGGGAAAGTCTGTTGTGGAATTCAAATGACATTAACAGAGGTGGAAAAAATGACTCGATTATTTTCAGTAAAGGTTTTATTACCACAGTGCAGGAATATTGTTAATATTGTTAAGTCCTGGACTCATAATACTTCAAGGTTAACTTTAGTACTTTTCAACCTGGACCCTAATCTCCAGGTTGAAAATGTCTTTGTATGTTGAAGTGACGAATGGGGGACATTTTTTTATTTGGTTCAGTATTGAGGGAGAACACTGCAGACGGCAGGCGCTTAACGGGTACCATTATAAGAGAACATAAACTAGAGGGAGATATGGTAACACTTAATGGTGTGCATATGACTCTGACAGCCATATGCAACATAATGAAAGACTGCTCAGTTTAGAAACTCTTAAAGAGAAACAGACTTCTATCGATACTTACAGATGCAACATTATGTTAATATGAAGATGAAAAACATGACAAAGACAAGTAGATATCTGATAGAACTGTTTAGAAAAGCATATAACTCAGATATAGGCAGTAAAATCATCTCATGTATATATAAATGTCTGTCAAATTAAAAACACATTCAACCTCTTATGTTAAAACTAAATGGGAGGAGGGAGGAATAACTATATCTGAGGTAGAATGGACAGCAATATGGAAAGTTCAATGGAAGTGTACCAGCTCGCAGACATGGAGAGAGTTCGGGTGGAGAAATGCGATTTTATTACCTCTCAGAAACGCCACTATGATACAAACCCTGGAGAGGATGTGGAAACCAAAATGCAAAGCGTTACCATGTTTGGGGATTGCCCTGTTATCAGAATATTGGAGAAGGATACACACTGCCCTACAAAACATGTTAAAGGTGAAATACCCCTACAAACCATGTATTCTGGATATTTACCTAAAAAAAAATGGAAATGGTTGTCACGAGAGTCCCACTCTTAATACATGGATGGACATTTACAACATTAAGATAACAGCTTCTGTCCACTACAAATTGGAACAATTTTTGTTATATTGGAAATAATGGGTTACATATGCAACACCCCATAGACCTGACTTTATTTTCATAAATAGTTGAATGTACCGTAGAGAATAGAACACTCCCTACTTATATACAGTTCTTGTTTTTTTCCCACTCCTTGTTCTATGTGTAGAACTAAAATGGGCATCATCTGAAGATCTGTATATAGAGTGTACAATAATGACAACAAAAAAGACAACTTTCACATTTTGGGGAATTTTCTTTTAATAAAGAGTTAAAAAAGCATTTCGCAAACATGTTTTCTTCTTCAAGGCAAAGGACTTAAACATCATCCAATTTTTTTTTCTAAACTCAAAGTGATGTTAAAGGAAGCCAGGAGTGAGGGCGGTCCGTGAATATTTAGACACCATATAATTCATGCTGAATACGGTTGACCCCTCTGTGGCCTCACCTGTACCTACTCCTCTCTTTCTCATTGGACCTCTTGGAGGAGCCGCTGCGGCTCAGGTCCTTGTGGCTGTGGCCTTTGTCGCGGCCCTCTTTCCCGTGTTGGTGCTGGGATTTGCCGTGTTTGTGGTTCCGGTCTCTGGAGCGGGACCGTGAGCGGGATTGAGAGCGCTGGCGTCCCGTCTTTCTGTCTCGCCGGCTGTCCCGGTCGTCCTGGAAGTGTCACAGCAGATGTGAGACGGTCAGTGGTGGAATGTAACGGAGTACATTTACTCAAGTACAAGGTCAAGGTACTTGTACTTCAGTGTTTTCCATTTTATGCTACTTTATACTTCACTCTACTCCACTACATCTCAGAGACAAATATTTGGCACTAAATTTGTCTGACAGCTTTACTTACTTTGCAGATTACATTATTTTCATTCCATTCCCGTGATAACCGCTTATCTCCAGATGTGTCGATGGAGAATGTTTGCCACAAACTGAAGGATGAACTTTTCCTTTATGTGTTGAGAAAACTCTCCTTAAGCTAAATAAACCTTAAGATCAGCTGGAAAATGCATCGTCACAATGAGGCTGTTTTTCTGAGCTCATGAAAAGTTGACTTTTTAGAAATGCCTGGTTCTCACAGGACAGTGGTGCTACCAATATATGGTCTCGAGTAGGAAACTTTGAAGAAAGCAGCGAGAGTACACTACATTTTTAAAGTATTCAACCGGAAACAATCCCACTGGTGTGATGATTACATACAATGAAGTGTTTTGGAAGCATGACATGTTTTGTTTGGCATCGACTGCGAGCGGCCATATTCATTCGACACCATGGAGCCTGCCTGACTTGTCCAATAGGAACTCTGATTTTAAAAGAACAAGATTGATATTTTCCTGGACCGATTAAGGGAATAACGAGTTCTGGAGCCATGAGGTTACTGTAAAATGTCATATTCAGTTACATGCGTCTTTCAAACCCGGGGGTTACACTTGTGATTCACGTGAAAACAAAATTAATATTGTGAAGCAATAAGAAGAAGAACATACGTACATAATGCAGCATTGACAAACATGTGTAACATCTATGGGACTCTGTCGTCGGGCGGCTGGTTACAGCTTCCTACAGTTCTGCATTATTTTACATAGATATGTTGTTAGCATGACAAACTGTTAAAGTCCGTACAGCTCGACAATATATCCACAGCCTGTTGTTTCTTTGCTGCATTGCAGATGGAATGCTGATAAGGGAACTGCGTTCCACTGCTTATTGCATTGTTCAGGGATCAGAGCATTTTGGAAAGATGTACTTGACACACTATCACAAATATCTGCAAACAAAATATACCAGAATATCAAAAAAACATGTGTTCTTGGTTTGTTTTGAGATTCCAAGGCTTTAGAATAATACAGAGGAATGTAGTCTTGTTCTCTCTCTCTGGTTGAACATACTGGATTTGTCTTATTGGAGAACAACAGGAAAGCCCTCCACCAGTCAGTGGCTGGTAAACCTTTGCTACTAACAGAAAGCCTGGTACCGTTTATAAAATATATACACAGTCACGGCCATAAGTATTTGTATAAATGGCTGTAATTCCTAAACGGTTAATATGATATTTTAGTTTTATCCATTGAATTAAAGCTGAAAGTTACACTTCAACCACATATTGACTGCTTCCTTTCAAATCCACTGGAGTCGTGTAAAGAGGCAAAATTAGAATAAATGTGTCACCGTCCAAATACTTATGGCCCTGACTGTGTATGTGGGAACCTGCTGACAATAGGCTCTAGACTCCTCCCATCGATAGCAGACTGGGATGCCTTTTAGCTTTTTCCATGGTGTGACACATTCAACATGACGAAAACACCGGGAAACAGAGTTAAAAAGGAGGTAGAAATCAGCATGGGGAGGCCAGTGAAGTGTTAGTGTGGTGACTGGTTTGTGTAGGTCACTTATTCAGCCTCTCCTTCAAACGCGGTACCGACTGATATGGAACGACGTTCGAGTGCTGCTTCGACAGAGACGGACTGAATTTGTGCCAGTCGATCGGAGCTGCAGCCAGAAACTACTGCTGCAATGAGTGATTCAGATTTTAACCTTTTCCCACTGAAGACAAAAGCCAGATGTTGGGGGGGGGGTGTTGTTGTTGTCCAGTGGGAAAGGGGCTTTGGTCGGTTAGAGTAAAGACACTGTAGACCTGGTGACCTTTGTTCTCCGCCATCACCATTTTGAGAGCCATGTGGAGGCAATAGATGTGCGCTGAATTTCAAAATCCGCACCATTAACAATGCATATATGTAATGCATCCAATCAAAACGCCCCTCCCAGGCTGGTATCTGGACTTGTGTTTATTAAAAGTCAGAATAAACAGGTTTTTTGTGCAGCTTGATTGCACATATTCTCATGTACACATTTAGAAACAACCTAATTATAGATCAGGTTCCCTCCAAGATAAAACCACTTCCCTGCAGTAAAAGCAGAAACTGCACTGCAATTTAACTAATACAACCAAAGAGAGAGTTTAACACAATACTACAATATTGTTGTGTTGGCTTGAAGGTACCTTGTGTTTCTTGGACTTCCTGCTGTCCTCATCATCTGAATGATGATGGTGCCTCTTCTCCTTGTGCTTCTTCTCAGAGGGCCGGTGGCTCGCCGCCTCCTCTTCCTCCTCAATTATCAGGTCGTACTTGGAACTTTGGGGAAAGTTATGGAAATCTCGAGGAAGAGGCCGTACGGTTAGAACACAGCAGACTGATACGTTACGACATGAAGTGGAGAACCACAAATATGAAATGAAACCCCTGCCTCTTTACACACAAGGATACTCTTGTTTGGGCTTCACTTGGTCCTTGAGGTCCAGTTTGGATCGGGTCTCCACATCCTTCTCGTAGGCGTTGAAGTCATCTTTAGTGTACTTCCCACCTAGGAAACAGAGACGGCTATGATCCGCGCTTATGAAACACAATGTCAGATTCTCAAAGCTGCATATGGAAACTAGGTTTAGATTGCCGTCAACATGTTCACGCTTCAGAACAAAAAGAGAAATATTCATAACTATAGAGGCGTCAGTCCGAGTACCTTTGCCTTTCCATTTGATCTTTGAGACCGACTGGCTGAAGTCTACGTGAATGCGTCGATCGTCGATGAGCACGTTGTCCATTTTGAAATAGGCCTTTTCACAATCTTCTTGCTTTGGAGACAGAAAGCATAAAGAAAAGCGGTAAGAGAGGAAGAGTAATACAAGTAAAAGTCATGTTCTTTAGCAACAGATGATGGAATGTTATTAACAAATGGCATACTATGAATGGGCAGGAAGAGCAATAAAACCAGTTTAGGTAATAACTTAAATGAATATATGATGTACTGACTGGTAGTTATCTTTATCTCTATTATCAGAGACTATTTCCATTATCGATCAATCTGCAGATTGTTTTCTTAAGAACGGTTTAGAACAGTGTTTCAGAAACTTTCCTAAACGGAGACAAATTAGACCACGGACCCCCATTTGATACGATTTTGTCCGAGCTTCCCTTATCTGCTTTTACATGGTTAATTACAGAAAGTGTATGAAACCCATGCCCAAAGCAGTCATGCATTTTGTTAAGTCATAAGTGTTACTTATGACTTATGAAATATAGTGAAAATAAATGACTCCACTTTTGCTGCAAAGCCCCTGGCTTAGTCTTTAAAATATTTAAAAAACCGACAAATTTCAGTCACAATTTCCAAGGAGACGTCTTCATGAATAAAAAAAAAAACACTAAAAAAAAGAAATTTCACTTGTTATCTGCAATCAGATATCTAAGAACAAGGCGTTCTTTGACTGTGTTGATAGGGTACGTGATTAATGCGATTTGTCTATTAACATAACATACTATTTAACTTTCATTTTCATAACGACAGCTTTTTTGGCTATTTTACAAGGACTATTCGTTCTATTTCATTGTACAATTTCACTATATTACAGGATGTCATGTCACTGGTAGAAGTCCGTTTATCTCCAACAACTTGGCCAGCGCCCTCTAGTGGTTAAATGTTCACTTCCCGTCCAGCACTATCATTCATGATGCTGTTGCTGTGCCTCATATAAAGGGTCTCCTTTGATTCTACAGTCCGTGGTTGAAGGCGTTCAGAGAACTGAAGGCCGGTGGCAAAAACCTGCCTGACCGAGTTCACAAGGTCACATCTTTATTTCCACAGTGGACAGCGAGGGAAACAAGGTCCCACGTTCTAGGTAAATATAGTATACTCAACTTTCACATCTCTATAATATTACTTCTCTATCATAATGACTCCAGCAGCCCATGTGATGGTTATTAACACGTCATAAGAGGAACAAACAGTGGCGGGGGTTTTCTCCTTCTGTCACTTTCCCTACATGATGTACTGCTCCTGTCCTCATGAATGTTATCGTGTCATGAACACCATTAACCAGTGACTTAAAAGGGGACCTTCCCTAAAACTAAAAATATGTATTTTTAACAATACATCACGACAGGAAGGGTGACATATTGTAAGTCTATGCAATAGACACCAATAGTTCATTAGTGTCTCGTTAAGCCGCCCTCAATGCACACGTACTCCCGTAGTTCAACAGTTTGGGGAATACGCTTGCTTCCTTTTCTTTCAGAGTGAAATAAGGAGATTCAACGTCAATCTAGTGGCATCATACAGTCGGTGAGTTCAGGCACAAGCTTCTGTATAGTGTCACAATGGTGCAAAACCTGACAACCCGTGACAACAAAACTCATTAACTGTGCCTGGTAGTTATCCTGCAAGTAATTGTTCCAGTGCGTAACACATAAAACCACAAATGGCTGCTGTTATGTGTTATCTTTGTACAGTTCAAACAAATGAGATACATGTTGCCAAGCATTTCACTTCACTTTCGACAAGCTAGGGTAAAGTTCAGACTCCAGGTGCATACTCAACACTCAGTAAATGTGATTAATATTTAATCTTTTCTGAAAAAAACATATTTGAGCCACCTAAAAAAAAAAAGGCCAAATCAGTTTAAATGTCCGCTTTATTTGGAATACCTTCACCACTTGACCTTCAGGTCAGACAGACCTTTTCGATGGGGAATCTGTGCTCCAGTCCAAGCCACAAGACTTCATTAACAAAAACAGGAATTTGACCCGGCTGAACACCGCTGCATCGATCGTTTACGTCGTTTGTGTTATTGTGTGACTTTCGGATCTCAACTAACGTGGCGTCCACAGCAGTACACTGCTTAGCTACTGTAATGGTTCCCTTGTGTGCTTCTCTAAACTTGAATACATATAGGGAACACTGGAAAGCTACAGAACGATCTAAAAACATCAGCTGTTCAACTGTAAACACATCCACACACTATGGAGACTACACTAAAGTGCAGTTCTCATTAGATATTGTGCCTCACGTAGAAACACAAGATGCTCACCTTATCAAACTCAATGAAGGCGTAACACAGGGAATCTCCACTTTTCCAGTCTCTGATGATCTCACAGCTACACACAACAGAGAAACACCAGAAACGTTTCAGACACACACGCATTTCCACATGTACAAATCCAATAGAAACATTTTGAAGACAAAAACTAGCATGATGTAGAACATGGATGTTTGCAGTGTCACGTTTTTATGGTCCCAAAGCGAGAAAAGATGATTTCCAGGTCCTCGTCGGTGGTCACCGGATTCAGTTTGCACACAAACAGCACGTTCTCTGGAGGCTTCATGTCTGCATCAGGGAGGTCACCCACCTGGAGGAATGCAGGACAACAGAGAGTGTATAAATGTCTCAGACGGCACCTCCGGTACATCTTCAGTCATCTCTTCTTCTCACCATCTCCAGCAGGATGGCCCGAGTCTTGGCTTCTTTCTCCTTCAGCCTCTCCTCCAACTCCTCTGCTGCCATCCCATCCGTATCGTCGATCACTTCGTCCGCTCCGATTCGCCCGCTCTGTACAGAAACAGCTGTAGTTATAGAGCCAGTAAATGTTTGTACATTTATTGTACACATTTTGTCATGTTTATGCATCCAGATAAGGTTTCTGGTTTCAGTTGTGAAAATCTGTTTGTGGGTTAAGTCAAAAAAATGTGAGAACTCTCAAGAGTTTAATGACTCAACAGCATCACTGCACTCACATCCAGCTGCTCTTTGGTGGGCTCAGGCGATCCATCAGGCACTGGCAAATCAGGAGGGTCATCAATAGGGTCTTCCAGGACCACCGTGTGGTTTATCCTGCAGCAAAATGACATTCTCATCTCATGACTGGAAAAATGTACGCCCTGAGGTTTTTTTCTTTGAGAAATAATACATGCATTTTTGGACTCATGGGATATTGCTACATGGACTGCATAGGCGGTTTATCTTAGTTCATCTCGGGCTGTAACTGTATGTGGTGAACCGTCACGGTACGGGAGGAAACGGTGCGATGCACGCAGAATACACGGTATGTAGAATGATGCGCGTAATGTGGAACCAAGGGCGAGTTCTGCCCGGAAACTTTTAGCCGTGCCTCGTAAGCAACATTTGCGGAGGTAAGAACAACGAGCCGATTGGCCCGCGAGTCAGTCACACTATGGCGAGAGAGCAGTGTTTAAGAGGGGCCGTGTGTCGGCGTTGCTCCACCGTTGTAGGGGAAGTGACTAAAAACACATCCTGCACGCTGACGCACATTCCTCCACCATCACCCAGGCGTGCTGATCCCCGGGACGAGAAAGAGCCAACTGCATTTAGTAATGTCAGTTTCATAGCATTGGAGATGCTTTTCAGTCTTGTGGCCTATTGTGACCGGTTACCTTTTTGGAAAGTGTTTGTTCAGTGTAATACAGAAGAGTTTTTTATTGTTATAATGAAAAGAATCTTCCATCGTTGCCAGTGGGTAAAATGCTCCTTTAGTCCCCAGCCAAGAGCATTTTGATCGTCTTTGACACTTGCTCTACTGTCTGTTCAAAATAGACGACAATAAACTGAACCGCGACTCTTAAACCGGGATATGAACCAGACTGTGACTTCTGTGTACCGTTACAACTCCAGTTCACCTGATATCCTGAAATGGGACAAAGTCCTTGTCCACGAAGGTCTCATTGATTTTGTCCAAGATTTCCATGCCCTCTGTCACCTCCCCAAACACAGTGTGGACTCCATTCAGGTAGTCCAAGTTCTCACCCATGGTGATAAGGAACTGAGGACAAGAAGAACAGATGACGCACATCATGTAGCACACCCAGCAGGGAGCATTTGATCCGTAAATTTAATCTAATTTATGCTGAAAAAACAAAATCACCATGTACAGCTAGCCATAAGATCTATCACTCCAGGAATTGGTAAGGCCAGACAGGGTTCACTATAACATATTACATTCAATAGTAGACGTGATCATTTCTGTCGGAAATTACAGTTGGGACATTCTTCAACTAATCAGCTGATTTATATGATAAATTATACACAAGTTATTTTTACCTTTGCTGATCAACCGAAACAATCAAACTAGTAAAAGTCATTTTAATGTTGCTTTTGCTCTGGAAGATGTTTGCAACTTGCAGGGCAAAGGACAGCGTGACTGCACATGGTATTCACCTGGGATCCATGCTGACCGTTTCCATTGTTCACCATGGACACCGTCCCCTTCTTCCTGTGTTTGATGCGCGGCGCTTTCTCTGCATCAAAAAAGCGGGCCTGGTCCCCATAGATTTTGCTAATAATCACACGCAGAAGAGAACGAATTGTCAGTGTTCAACTCCTGGTGTCAAAAACAAAAACAAAAAAAAAGGGCCAACCGCGGTGGTGAGGATGACTGACCTGTAGATAGACTCTCCACCACGTCCCGTCCCAGTGGGATCTCCGGTCTGCACAATGAAGCCTCTCTGAAGAGGAGACAAATACAGCGTTACAGCATCCAACACAGTGTCTTCACCAGAGCCTGATCATTAACAGAAGATACACTTCAAGTCACTTTTGAGACAAAACTTTTGTTTGCACCAGGGGTCCTCGAGCCCAGTTTATGTTCTAACCTCATGTTACCTGCATGGGCAAATGTTTGGACTGAAATGAAAGTGTTGCAAAATGATCTAAATGAGAAGCTGTTGCTTTTTTGGCGCTAGGGTCGGTAATTTGGGCAATGAATTAACAGTGGTCTGAACATTTCAAATGGCAGTATATTGCCCTCCTCAGGCGAGTTTGCGCCATGGTCCACCTGATATTGATCCACACCGTTGTTACAGAAGTTTGCAAGGAACCATTTCGTTTTACCTGAACATTGTGGATGAGGCAGTAGTTGTAGTACTTTATCTTGCATAGTTTCAGGAAGTTTAGGCAAGCTGCGAAATAAAAAGAGCACAGAGGTTAAACCGACAGTCATTTCAACGACAGTCAAACATGGCCAAACAGTTACTGACACTTCGCGTCTATTTAGCGTAAATGAATGAAGGACACATACGGGGTTTACTCCGGCTGTGTTGTTAATGCTGGTTTTCTGTTTGCTAGTGTTAAATAAGCAAATAAATAGACGGAAGCAAGCTAACAGCCTTAGCTAGCAGCCACGTTCACTGTGCATCAGCTTGTCAATGTCTGACGTGAACTCAACCAGCAATATCTTCACTAAATGAACTCCCGTTACGTGCAAATCACTTAATTTTCTTACTTTTGGGTCTTTCTTCTGTGAACAAATCAATAACAATATCGCCTAACGTCGTTTCAAGGAGCACCGCCATGCTGACGTTCCTGGTCTCGCGAGAAGAGTGTTTAGAATTTCCCCGCGCGTGCGCAGCTCACACGTCTTGGTCAATGTTTTTGTTTTAACTAACGCTGTCGTCTGGCTGTTATCACAAAATGGAAACGGCAGGTCTAACGATAGCAGTTGGCGTTATCTCGCTTCTCTTTGCCTCGGTAACGTGCACAGAGTCGTCGCCCAGGCAATTGAATACGGTAAAGTGTCAACAGCAGCAAATTGAGCTAACCTGATGATGTTGATGTTAGCATAGCGTTAGCTTAGCGCCCCCCATCGTCCATTGTGCTGCTAACCTCGCGTCTGTTTATCTTTTCTTTTTCATTGTTGATATCTAGGAGAATATCCTGATCAACGTGACGGCGGGGACGATTGCGGATACACAGCTGCAGGACTCCAACAACTTACAGGTGTGTGTATATATATATATATATATATATATATATATATATATATTACAGTGACGTTATAAGACAACGTTTCTAACGTAAACGAAGCTACAGAGGTGGGTCCACCAATCAGCCTTCACGACGTTATTTCTTTTTTCCAGATCAATTTAAACATATCGGTGGGTGAAGAGCAGGTGCTTGTCAATGACATCCCAGTGGAGCTGTCAGGGGTCACCAGGTTCAACTGTCAAGCACTTCTCTGTGAGTTTTCCTCACATCACATGTGAACAATCCAAGTACTAAACCACGATGACAGAAACCAGAAGAAAGTACTAATGCAACCCTCCAGATAGCACATTGGCAGCCTGTTAGAAATGAATTAGTCTGTGGGGGTTGCTGTTAAAATGTAAATTGTTGGCAGAATGTGATATACAATGAATCATATTTTTCCAGTAGACGGCATCAATGGAACCAGTGACTTTGAGTCTGGGGACCTGGTGTCCACTGTCATGCGGGTGATGGTGAGCCAGAACCGGCTATACAGCGACTCAGAGGAGGTGGTGGCTCTGCAGGTGTTCAGTGAAGTGATAGAGATGGAGGGCAAAGAGGTAAATATCTCTTAACCACAATAACACTATACAGAACCTTGTTTGTTCTTTTACCTCAAAACGTACAACTTTACAAATTATATTAAATCTTTTCAGAACTGATGAATCAAAGTAATACCCTGAATTGGATATGACTTCACATCCTTTGGGTTTGTGTCCTGTAGGTCCAGCAGCCTGACATGTGTGAGGTGAAAATCCTGATGAGCCCAGATTTCCAGAAGCTGGCTCAGTTTACCAACATCTACCCCATCGGACACAGCGAGATCTTCAGGGTTCCCAGGGAGAACGACGTGGTTGTCACAGATCCGCCAAATCCCAGAAAAGGTATGAAACCACGGCGCTTTTTCTGAGCCTCATTATTATTGTAATGCGGATACTCTATAGCAGTCCAGTTAAGTGTGGCTCTAAAACTTTCCCTGCACAAATCAGACGAAGAACAGCTGATGTCCCAGACCACCAGCCAGTACCCCCTGAAGCACACAGAGACCACGCAGGAGGAGATCGCAGCACCGGGAAAGCTCCCGGAGACTCCGCTTCGCATGGACCCCGACCTGCTGTACGACGTCAGATACGATGATGATTTCGATGTCCAAGAGCCGAGCCAGCCGGACCAGATTCAGATGGAAAGTCCGCCCAAAGAATCTATATCCTCTTACTCTGTAAGCCAAGTCTGATGCCAGACCTCGTTGATGACGTACAGTGTGTACTGCCTCAGAGGGGTCTAGCCATTTCACGTCAGTAGTGGGTGTTGTTTGTTATGTAGGAGGTAGAGGATGACAGGCTGTTTGGGACTCTCTTGAGACAAATCGGGAATAGAAAGTCAGTTTATTAAAACATCCAATATTTATCCTCTCGCACTAACTAGTATGGGCACTCATTGTAAAACTCTGCGACGGTAGGAGCCGAGGTAAGTTTGCCAGAGCTCACAGTAGTGGCCCTTAATTTCCTCCCGCGATCGGTGCTGATGTTTTTGAACTGTGCGAACCGTTTCCAAAAGTTTGGCAAGCTTTAGGAGCATTTCGGGAACTATAAGTTCAACAATTAGCCAAATATTGAGAACTACAATTGAGGATGCACATGCAGCAGAACACTCTTGTTAACTTGTATGAGGTGAGGAAGCCGAATGCAGCTTTATGACAGACAAGCTCCCCATAAACTCTGTCATTCTGGTTTGTTTCCTAGCCTTCGCTTGGAAAAGTATTTTATAATATGCAGTACTGGTCGAGTCCTTGTAGCAGCAGGAGACGCTCACGACTCCGTGTCCGTCCTCTCCTCAGGCCATGTGTCAGTGGGTGGAGGGAGTGAGGGAGCGTCTGAGGCGCTTCAGCTCCGAGTCGCTGCCTCTTTTCTTCCTGGTGATGTGGGTGGTGGTGATCGGCGTCGTCGGGTCAGCGGTCATCGTCAAGATCTTGGACATGTTCTTCCCGACTTGTGAACACAAGTGAGTTTGTGTCAGGGGGGGTTATGAGTGAGCAAATAATCTGCTGGAAGGTGTACTTAACCGTGTCATCAGTGACCAGCTGACCTTTCTTACTCGATCATTTCTAAATGCTTAACTTTTTGTGCCCCTCTTCCTCTTCTTCTTCTTCTTCTTCTTCTTCTTCTTCTTCTTCTTCTTTTTTCTTTCACAGGCACATTTTTCACGTAAACCCTGTCACTCTCATGCCGGAGGACGAGAAGCACATTCTGCTGGAGAGCATAGAATTAGAGGAAGAAGAAGAAGAAGAGAATAAGCCTTGAATGCGGATTGACTTGGCCGGCTCCTTTAGCTTCAGTTTGTTCTTATTTGTTCTTTAACCTTGGTTACTGTCTTACATTATCAGCATTTGACACTAGCTTGTATTGACATTTGTGAAGCGGTCAGTTTTGTTTTCGCCTCGGTTAACCCCTTTAAGCACAACAGCCACGGAGCAGTGAGCAGGCCACCAAACAGACAGCTGCTTTCCTGCTAGTCCACCTCAAATTTAGTCCCATGATCAAAATGGCAAAGAAAGTGAGCGATTCATAGCGCTGATGTTGTGATGTCAGCCGTGGAGCGTGGTTGAGGCGGCGACATTGCCGGTCACCAAAGTTGCAGTCCACGTGATGCGAATGTCGCCCATGTGTGATTGGTCAGATTGCCACAAATGACTCTACTTCGTTATTTTCACTTTAAAGTAACAAGTTACTTTTTACTAGAAATGACCTAATTCAGTACGTGTGCTTCACCCACTTCCGAAACATGCCGAAGCAACGTGGCTCACTCCAAATCTGTCTTCATTATCGTATAAAATGTAACACAAGAAGCCGGTTTCATAAATGTCGCTGAAGGCTTTGAACTTAAAGGAATAGTTCAACAATTTAGAGAGACATCCTAAAAAGTGCTCAGAAACATCAATGGCAGGCTTACAGGACACCGAAGACATACACAGGTATGAGAACTGTAGGTTCAACAAATGAATACGAACAAACTGGACAGTTCAGGGGCTGCACCCAACCATTTCAAGTCTTTGTGTTCACTGAAAAGACGTTCTAGATGTAGCAGCTCTGTACAGGTCACACTTTATTCTCACACTAGGCTTTTTCTCCAAAAAATACACCCCACTGCTGAATGTGAAGAAAACTAAGGCAGCAGATGCACTAGGATGAGTTTCCTCAATATATTATTTAATAGGAGGCAGGCGATGCCTCCTGTCTGTCGTCCTTTTTAAGTGAAGCTAAAGAAGAATAGACATTACATTTGAATCTGTTGTTGCAGATGGCTCAGATGGTAATATTTGACCTCGAAGGAAAAAGATGCAGCTTACTGTCTGGTTACAAATCTCGTGTCTGCACATTCAGTGAGGCCTCTTTTAAACCCCGAATGTCACTACTGAAAAAACACCTCCCTTTAAGGCCTGTTTTCCACTATTGAGGCTCATATATTGATTGTGTTTCTTCACAGTGCCTCTGTGACTATCAGTTAAGGGGGGGGGTGCAATTGATTGATTTGATGTGTGGTTTCCCGTTACTAATAATGGAGAGGGGAGCTGAGGTTATTCAGATTGTCTATGCACTCTAAGTGCTGAAACCGATGTAAAACAGTGTGTGCACAAGACATCACTGCAAATTCAGTGTGTAAATTATTGTTAAAGGATTTGAATCTGCACTTAGTTTTGACTTTTGGAGTGAAAACTGGAATTGACTCTGCATGGATGGTTTTTATTTTTGTGTTTTTGTTGGAGATTATGGGCAAAAATGACGTGTGAGGGACCATGGAGGTGGGCACAAGGCTGATTATTGGTTGAAAAAGTGGGTTTAATTAATCCAAAACTCCAAGTGTTTCAACATGGTTTTTGTGTTGTTTTATTTTTTAATTTATTTTTGTCATTATTTTCTTTATAAACACCTGTAAAACATCAGCTAGTACAGAAGAGTATTAGGGCAAAGCATTAAGGGAAAACATATTTTTGTTATTTCCAGAATAAAGTTACTATTTTGATTTATTCTCAAAAGTTAAATTGTTATGCTTGATATTTCAACCTAATCATCAAAATGGTATTTAGACTTTATTTTCAATATTCCAACTTTATTCTTAACATTTAGACTTTATTCGCAAAATGCAAAAAAGACAAAAGTCCCCCCCCCCCCTTTATACCTGGCCCTAATACTCCTCCGTAGCTTGTGTACCTCCCTAAGGTTGTGATATTGTCTCCCCGGAGCAGAATGCATGATGTACTGCGTTAGCAAAAAGGTGCATGTGTAGTCTAGCTAGTGAATGCAGTTTGCTGTTCTATCAGCAAGTTCGACAGCAAAGCTAAGAAGCTGCATGACGACTCAAAACAGCTCGACCCGTCTTTGGGTTCAGCCTCAAATTCCAAATAGATTAACTCAAGACAAACAAGTGCTGTTGGTGAAGCTAAATTAGCCTTCAAGGCAAACGATGTCAGGCATGAATAACAAAAATACAGTTTGATTTGCTCTTTGTTTAAATGGGGGTAGACCCCAATGTGTTACTGTTTTGAGACATTTGTGTGCATACATTGTATGAATTACAGCTGGACTGTGTATTTGGGTCTATAATCCTGCTGATTAAATGCTTTCCTTATGACCATCAAGCCTTCGTCTTGTGTGATTATTGTGGTTGCGCACACTGTGAACACTCGCTGCATTGTTCTGTCCCAGAATTGTGAGTATATTAGATGAGGACTCAAACTATTTGTTAAGTTTGAGTGAGCTGCCGGATTTCCTCTTCCTGTTGTGGATCTCCAAAGTTGCATGCTCTCCGTTTTGGCAATTTTCACATTGCAGACATACTGAGAAACTTGTATGTATTAGATTTGACATGAAGGTAATGCTATTAAAAACTATGCATCTGTGTCCATTTGCCTAGGATAAAAAAAAAAGCTCAATGGCAAAATAGGTTTTCAGTGTCCGGGCCTTTAAATCCCACTTGAGGGATTCCAGTGTGGTCTATTGGCTTTTTTGTTCACCGAAGAGCATGATGTGTTTAACTCTAAAACGTTGGACAAGAAGAAGTAAGTGCCCTCTCACATTTTCGAATACTGTGAATCTACCAGAGCAGGTCGAGGGAACTGAGATGGCACATTTTAAACTGGGCATAAATTAAATTATAGCGAAAGCATTATGTGCTCAAAATCTGCTTTGCAAATGTGTGTACCTCTTTGTTGGACAGGATACAGAAGAGATCTGACAGAGAGAGGGAAGGGAAGGATGTCATGCAATAAAGATCGAGCGGCCGGACCCGAACTGGGTCACCGTGATACCTCACAATACTTTTATTCTAATGACTATCTGCAAATATAATTGCCACCAGAAGTCCTGTAAACCATCATTAATATTTATAGATACTCTATATTGCACATCAGCAACATCTTAAAACTAATGGCCCATGTATGATTGTAAGGTTTTGACTTTAGTTTGAAAACTGACCTACAAACTAGGCCCATATTAACTCAAATGCAGTCATAAACAAATTACAATGCAACTACTGTAAGCAACACAAACAAAGATAGACAGGCTCAGTTGTCTCACTAATGTTAAGCTGCAGCTGGTTCAGTCTGCACGGCCCAACAAAGTCCCCCACCAGGCCTCAGTAGTCCTCCTGTTGTCCACCGATATGCCGGTCCGGTGATCCGTAATCCAGGACACAAGTGGAGAAGTTCACCTGCTTGGCCCTGAGCTTTATCTCCCAACAGCAGAGGCTGTATGGTGTTAAAAGCACTGGAGAAACCAAAGAGCATGATCCTCACTGTGCTCCTGAGCCTCATCCAGGTGGGAATAAGACTGGATTGTGTCGTCCACGCCAACGTCTTCCTGGAAGTCAAACTGCAGGGTCCTGAGGTGGGAGGCTAGTATTAGTCTCTCAAGGGTTTTCATCACGCGGGACATCGTTTTAGGGTTCGGGTTGCCTTTTCTTGGTTACCGGGATCCGGCATGATGTCTATCACAATGTGGTCATCTTTTCCAGTCTCAGGTCGAAGATGTGCTGTCAGCCCATTGTTGGGGAAACAAGTTACAGTCCAGGTTGAGCCCCTCGTTGTCCTCTAAATATAGCTTTCAGCACTTCCTAATTTTTGGTCTCAAAGCAGCCCCTCAAAGACATTAACATGAATTCAGTGTGTAAATTATTATTAGGAAAGAATCTGGACCTAGCATGGATGTTTTTTCTTTTCTTTTTGTTTGATGAAGATCTCATCGTGATTTATGGGCAAGATTGACTTTGATGATAAACCTTTCTGGTATCACTCCCAATGTTTTCCTAGGCTATGTGTGAGGGACCATGCAGGTGGGCACTAGGGCAATTACTGGTCAAAAAAGTGAGTTTAATGTATCTGAAACTTCTCCAGTGCAAGAGTTTCAACATGTATTTTTGTGTACTTTTTAAAATGTACTTGTCAGTGTCCTTTCAAAAACACCCTTAAAACATCAGGTATTTTTTGGGCTCAAAACAGCCCCTTTATCTCTCGCATGCTTCCATACTAAAGGTTTGATGGCCGGGCTACAGACATGTTCCTTGATAGTAATATGTCCAGGGTTGCACCATCTTTTGTTAATGAGAACAGCAACTGCAAGCCTCCCTCCTCTCCTCTCACTCAGGTTAGACACCTGTCTCCTCGGTATCTACGGTTCAACAGTAGTTCAGCCAGTTATAATTGAAGGTGAATGTTTCAGCATGTTCTCGGAGTTCTTTTTTCCTCCCGCCAACAAACATATTGTAATAAACGTACACGCAAAACAATGGTAATATCCATAAACAACTTTATTCATAGAAATATCTTTGCTAGTGTTACAGTTCACACACGTAAAATTAAGTGTGTTTGATAAAAATACAAAACAGGAATAACATTTGATACGATTAAATATAATGGTACAAAACAAATATGACACTTGGGAGAGCAGAGTAGCAGGAAAACATCTCTGGAAATGAAATCAAAAATGACGTTCTCACAAATGTCAGTTTTTCTTCAAAGCTACAGTTGACTTTGTCTTGTAGATGATTTCAGGATCAATAAAAGAAATGTAATTTGTGAGAAATAACCATTTTCAAACATCAAGTTGAGTCTTGAGTCCCTGTTTTGCATAACATTAACGTAATGTACAATATGAAGAGGTGCCACTTTTAAATATAAACCTACTCTTCAACCTGAATGATTCAGAAAACTCCACCACCACAACCTGCCACACACACACTCATCATCCTACAACAACAGTTACACATTTCGGATACTGGTGTTTTTCAGCAGGACCCAAACTCTTCGATCCACTTCTCATACTTCTCCAGGTCAGTGGCAGACACGGACTTGGACACTTTCTTCATAGCGGACTCAAAGTCCTCCATGGTGGTGGGCATGTGCATCTCGTCCCGGGAGATGTTACGGATCTCCTCTGGCGTGAGGCCCTCGATTCTACGCCTCATGGCCATCAGAGAGGCGTCCCTGTAGCAAAGCAACGACGGTTTTCATTTGAACACTTTCAGCAAAGGCTTCAATAGAGGCACAAATGACTTAAGTTCCTACAATAATCCTTTCAGCCTATGCTTTTATTGTGCTCTAAAATGCAATCTTAAATCAATTTACTATCTTGAATTACCAATCCAATCCATCCATATTCCTATAAATACCCGCCTAACCGTCTTCTCTTCCTCTATCACTTCCTGTGCCCCTCCCTCCCTGTTTCTCTCTTCAGTCTTGAGGGGGGTCCGTCGTGCCCAATCATTATTAAATCGGTTACATGCATCATGTCGACAGTGTCGTCCTTGCTAGTGAATAAGGAAATGTAAATACTACCAATCTCCAATTGTGTTCTAAAATGTTGCTGCAAATGACCTTCTAATTTTCCCAAAAAGCTACTGAATTTTATTTCTTAGATTTCCTTGATGACATTTTTGCTGTTATTTAACAGTGAATCTGATACAGAGAGGATCCACGGGGAGAGAAAGGCGTATGACATGCAACTGTGTTTATATGGTATGATCCAGTACGTCACTGGCAGACACCCAGCTCTTAGTGTGTTTTATCTATCGTAGCAATGACACATATTGTAGCAACGATCATATTCTGTGAATACATCTGTTGTTTCATCTCTATTAAAAACAGAAACTACTGTAAAGATCAACATTAGAAGTGTGAAGGATGGGAAACAGTGGAGGTGGCTGACCTGCACACATTGGTAATGTCGGCTCCTGAGTAACCCTCCAACTGCTCTGCAATCTTGTCCAAGTCAACATTGCTGGCCAGCTCCAGCTCCGTCAGGTTGATCTTGAGCAGCTGCACTCGCCCGTCGGCTGCAAACAGTAATGCAACAGTGAGTGGAGCAGGCAGGAAGCCCACAGCCTACCAACATATACACCAACCAGGTAACATGAATGAAGAGCCCACTCGGACTGCCGACCGGGCAACACAGACAACTGCTCTGGGGCTCTGGTAGCGACCTGTCAATCACAAGGTAGCCCCGACCTAAAGCATACTCTGCTTTATGATCTACATGACTCTAAATGGACCGTAATTTACTAAATGAACATCATGCTGTATTGACGAAGACTTGAAACTAGAGATTGAGACCATAAACTCATGTTTACTGAGTTATTTTCTCATAGACATCTATACAATCAGACTTCTTTTTGCAACCAGGAGTCGCCCCCTGGTGGATATTAGAGAGAATGCAAGTTTAAGGCACTTCTGCATTGGTTGCACCCTGGGAATATGCACCACTGAAGCACAACATTAACAATGATAAGGGCACGTGGTCCTGCATTACAATCTGATCTTGAAGCCCTGTTTTGTAGAGGGGCCCTTTGTCAAAATCTAGTTTTAAGACTCTATATTATGGTTATATTGTGCTCACATGTTGCACTTTGCTAAATGATTTTTAGTTAAAATACCAGAAATTGGCATACAACAAACTTCGAGTAGCATTTCAGCATAAGGTTATTGGTGCTGAAAACTAAATATAATGAAGCTGTGTGCACTGTACCTGAAGGTGACAGGATACAGAATGAAAGGTATGCGGGGGTCAATGGGGGCTCATTTTGGCCCCAGGGCCTCCTAAGCAGGTTAATCTGGTATAAACCCACATTGTGCAGTTAATAAGGCTGCAATAACCGACATTATGAGAGGCCTTTCTGTTTGAACCCGTGTAGTCTGTCTGGTCACTAGTTGTTGAACAGTCAAAGCTCACAGGTCACATAAGTCTGCAGGAACTTCGGTCACACTATCTGTTTTTAAATCGTGAGACTTAGACCGCACTGTCAAGAAGTATATACATATATATACATACATATACATATACATACATATACATATACAGTATATTTAAAAGAAAAGAGTGTACTTGAAGGCAGGGGGATGTAGATCCTCTTCTCCAGCCGTCTTCTCAGAGCCTCATCGATGTCCCACGGGAAGTTTGTGGCAGCCAGCACCATCACCATCTTTGATGGATCATCGTTTTCTGACGCTCCACCAACACCTACACAAAAGCCACAATAATGGAAAAAGCCTCAGAAAAAGGAATGCTTCAACTGTGTGTGTGTTTTTTGCAGTTAAAACAGTTTATACACAGTATATCTCAAATGCTAAGAAACAGGCAAAACTGCAGAAAACTAATGTTAGCTTCTTTCCACCATTTTAGACTTTAAAGCATTTCTAAGAGCGACTATAAGTACGTAAGTGATACAATTATGGTTGTGTTTTGTGTCATAGTCATTATACCGTCCATCTGCACCAGGAGCTCTGCCTTGACTCTCCGGCTGGCCTCGTGTTCCTCTGAAGTCCCTCTACGGCTGCACATGGAGTCAATTTCATCAATGAAGATCGTAGTGGGAGCGTAAAAACGAGCCTGACCGAGACCACAACATGTCAATGTACAAATGTCAAATAAAGTTGAACAGAATGTGAGAACAGATGCCTAATTCAGATGAGGTCTGCAGCATGTACCTGTCCTAACCATAATACAGAAATTCACATCCAAATTTAAAGGAGTATTAGGCGACTTTGGACCACTAGAGGCAGAAAGATTCGCAGAAAACATTACTTATTAAGTTATGGCTACAGGGTAGGACATCACATTTGCCACCCAACTAGTGCAATACTTTTCTCTCCGGAACCTTAACAATGCCCTGGATACCACAAATGCCCAAAACATTTGATAATCCCAGAAAAACATGACTTGGTTATTATCGGGGCCAAGCCCATACGGAAAGTCTCACCATTTCAAAGAGAAGGCGAACTAGCTTTTCAGACTCCCCTCTGTACTTGGAGGTGAGAGTGGACGAGGAGACGTTGAAGAATGTGGTTCTGCACTCTGTGGCAACTGCTTTGGCCAAAAGTGTTTTCCCCGTGCCAGGAGGTCCCACCATAAGCACTCCCTAAAGTAAGAAAAATAAGGTTTAGTGATGTATATAAATATATATATATATATATATATTTCAAAACAAATACAACCTAGATCTTTTTAAATTCGCACCTTCCACGGTCTTCGAATGCCTTTGAAAAATGCTGGCATCCACATCGGCAACACGACCGCTTCTTTCAGGAGCTTTTTGGCATCTACCAGGTCTGCAATGCTGTCCCTAAGGAACAGTGCACAGTGATTAGAGCTAGTGGGACACAAGAAGGCTGGTGACCACCCCAACCAAGCTGCTCGATGAACAACACAACAACTACGGTTCTTGTTAAGTTTGTGTTTAACGTAATGATGTGCTTTTCTGTTAGCCATGAAAGGACAGTGAAATCTAAACAGCTGTCCAAACAGCAGTCCTTACTCTATATTACCGATGATGAAATGCTGGACAATTTGAGGAAAATACCGAACTGCGATTTGTAAAGCCTGCTGAGTTTTGAAATCTTAACTGATGTTGAAATCATCATCACACACATACAGGTGAAACTTCACAGATGCTCCTCTCTCTCTCTCTCTCTCTCTCTCTCTCTCTCTCTCTAATCTCAAACACGCACACATGACAGGATAATGTTAAGATTATCGTACCAGAGGGAGCAACGGGGGAAGCAGATGTAAACACAACGCAGAGACTGACGCGGTACCACTTGCGGTAATAATTCATGTTTGAAATGATGGTATAATGAGCTTAAAGAAGATTCTGACTTTTGTTCAATATCCTCCAATGGTCATTTATTTGATAATTACCAAACTGCTAGATAAAAAAATAACACGATGCGACCAGCTGATGCTACATTGTTTTGCAAAACGATGCAGGGTGGAGTTAATGTTAATTAGCTACAGTCGAGTGAATTTTGCCAATGACAGATGTCATTGTAAGCTCAAAAAGCAACAGCTGCTTAGTATTACTTTCATCTCTATTAGCTTACGGTATCAATAATTACAAAGTAAAGTCTAATTAAACTTGCAGCTGTCAGAATTCAAAAATTGCAGTTCTTGAATTTGCAATTCCAATTTCAAAATAACGTTCAAGTGCTCGGCCAGTGACTTTTGTTAAATCTGTTACAGATGTGGCATGACATTTTTAGCTTTGTGTCTTTTCCCAAGATCACTTGTAGGCGTTGGTTCAGTTTAAGGTAGCTTCATATTAAGTGGTTATAAAATAACAAATATTTCTTAAAAAAGGTATGAATCTTATTTTTTTTCTTGAAAAAAATTAATAAAACAAACGATAAAAGGATCCACCATCTTTGGAAATTGCTTTGTTTGCTCTCACACATAAGAAGACTAATATCATTTCATCGTCTCTCAGCGTCCAGTACAGAGGAACAGCTGGGACATATTTAGCCTGGCTTACAAAGACTGGAAGCAGGAGTTAACTGCTGACAAGTACGTTACCCAAATATTACACCCACAACTCTAATGAACACGTACCATTTGACATTTGGATTCTGAGATATAATATCTCTCTCCAAAGCTTCCACGAGGTCTTTATCACATCCTGCGCCGTCAAACTTCTTCACTTCTTTCTCCTGGACATCTGCTTTGTTCTGGAAGGCAGAAAAAACAAACATTATTGCTCTTCCAGACAAAAAACTGGAATTACAGGCTAGGGCATGGCTGTAGGGAAGCAGACTGTGTAATCAACAATGCAAATAGATGTTCCTAAATATATGTTATGCAATATAATGAGGGCGAAGGTGGTGTGTCGAATCCACCGTCACGTTGCTCACCTTGTCATCCTTTACTTTGCCAGCGGCCTCCTTCTTCTCTTTGCCTTTGGACGGTTTGCCTCTGTCCCCGTTGGCCCCACGGGGCGAGTTCCTCTGCTGGGCCCTCACAGCCACGCTCAGCCTGTTGTTGGGAGCTTTGCTGTCTTTATAGGGGTTGGCTGGCCGCCTGACGGGACAAGGAGAATGTCTTCGGAAAAGAGAAGCCGACAACCATCAGCACTTCAAGTCAATTTCCCGTTCATTCCATACAATTATATGACTCATACTATGTTTTTATTCTTTAGTTTATTCATGCTAGGGGCACTTAAACGTGATGTAATTAGCTTTGGACTGGACTAAGGCTAAAAAACACTAGAAAGACCAAGGCAATAAAAAGCATTGTCAGTCTAAAATCCAAAATAATAAAAACATGTTTGAAGCAGAAAAAAAGGAAAAGAAAAGAAGAACAAAGAGGCTTTATGAGGTTTAGAGGCCACCTTTGTAGGGGGCAGAGCAGGAACAAAACAGGCTCACATCAGGGACTCACATTCACTAATCTCAATCATATGACAACATCAGAGCTATTGTGAACAGACAAACAGCTTACTCAACCCCCGATCACAAAGGTGAACGGTTAAGTAGCCCTGCACAGCCCAAATTGGTATCACAGCGAAGAAAGAAAACAGACTTAGGCAAAGAATGAGAAAGCTTAAAAAAAACTAAAAACGAATCAATACCGCTGCTCCACGGGCACAGGCCTTATTTCGCAATCGTCGTGGATACTGGGTTTAGCGGGCGTCGTGTGCAGTTGAAAGTTCTCCAGAGTCGCCATTATGTCCTGAACTTGTCGATTCTCTTCGCTGATTTCCTGCCACAGCTGAGAAGCAAACACAAGATTAAGGATCTGTTTTTATATCTGTTAAGTCAGAATGTAATTGATTGGCGAAGCATGGATCAATCAGCTTTTGCATATCTCTCTCTCTCAATGTCCTTACACATGATGAATGAAATAACAGCTCAGGACAAGGACAACAAAGCTGGACAGATAAAGATAAAGAATGGAAAGGTAGGTAGTATTAAAGTGTAAATATATATATATATATATATATATATATAATAAAAGCACCAATGACGAACAATTAAATAAGAAATCAAATGTAGATACACAAGTCACATGCTCTGTAAGTTGTAAACAGTGCAAAGAAATACATATAAATACAATACAATACTGAATGGATGTATATGGACTGAATGATTACGTACAGTATGTACATGTTAAGATATACACGTATATTGTTCATACAGTGTGTACGATTTATATTGAAACTGACAGATGACATGTACATATTAAAAAAACTAACTATGCATTGTAAAGATGATAATCTATAATTGGAGCAGTTGATATTTTGGTGTTGGAAGGTTATTGACAGTGTATGAGTGACGTAGTGTGAATCAGACTGACGGCCTGCGGGACTGTTCTAGTGTCTGGTTGTGTTGGCGTACAGTGTTCGGTAGCGACACAGAAACATGTTGAGTCCAGGGTGTGAAGGGTTTGCATTGACTCTGGAGGCTGCCATCCGTGGCGCCATCTGGCAATCAACACTTGCTCTCGAGTTTTGTCTGATGCGTTTTTTTTACGTCGTATTTACCTGCTGCCATCTCTGCTGAAAACTGCTGTCCCGCACAGTGTACACGTACTTCTTGATTTGTTCCAGCAAGCCGTGGTAAAGAACGCTGGCCGAGCTGTAGTTTCCCAGCAAGGCGTATTCGCGGGCCAGCTTCACGTTCTCGTTGATCTCTCGAAGACTCATGGTGCTGCAGGAGGACAGACAGCAAATACATGCACAATGGTTATTGCAGCTGCAACATTGGCAAGATATTAGCAAACATTTTATTGTATTTTTATGATCACATCAGGACACAGAGGGTGTTTCATACAAATAGCTTAGAAATTCTAAGTTTATTCTGAAAAATTCCGACAAGACTAACAAACTGAACCAGCATGATGCCGTCTCATAAAGCCAACATGGAGCTAATGTGATCAGGGAGAGATTTTGTCCCCAAATCACTACGGAAATCACCCCAGAAAGGGATCACTTTGAGGCCTGCATGGGCAGCAGGAATGATAAAAGTGACCAATAACACTTTAAATGCACACATGAGCATGTTAGTATTGCTTTAAGACAGACTTTACTAACTTTTTAATACATTATGTGTTTTCTCTCACCATTTTAATACACCAGATCAATATTGGAGCGATACTGATCTCATAAAGCGGAATCTCACGGGCCAGATAAGACATTAAATATAGTGTTTTTAACACTGTCAATACAAAACTCTATGTTTTTTATGAAAATGCGAGTGTGTATTGTTTTAAAATGAACGACAACAATGTATATTTATCTATATCTAGTATCATCTGATTATAAATAGAGATCATTTGTAACTAATTACTCTCCAGCGAAAGAAAAGCACATCAAAACTCGCAGTGTTATCCGGATAACCGTGATGCAATATTTACCAGCTAACTTATGTAGTTTTACGGGATTTTCCACCGCATTCAGTGAAATAGTAACCAACAGGATGGCTATTGTGCCTCTGTTTAATACTTGCTGTATGGATTAGCCGGAGCCGTTACGCCCAACAGAAACACAACCGTTTGTGTGGAAAAACGTGACAGGAAAGTCTGACGTACAAGAAGTTAACAGTTCAGATAAGTGATCTGTTTACGTTACAGGAACACATAATAGCTATCGGGCAAAATGACTTGACGTTAACTACAACCGATTAGTTCAGTTATCTGTTAACGCTACAAGCAACAGCCTTCACTTTGAATTTCAAGCCCCGGTTGGTTGGTTTCCCTTCTCTCGTACCAGAGCACTGCTAAAGTTTGTATTTACAAAACTTGACGTGTCCATATCCATCGCCGGGGATTGTTATGAGCCAGAAATCGCACACAAACTGGTTTGTAGTGGGTTTATACTCAACTTTTCAGATGTACACACGCAGTCCTCGCAGTGGCAGGAGGTCAAAGTGAGTCTACGTAAATTAAGACAACCAACCGACACGCAGCTAAACGCCCTGTTGACGTTTGTAGTTCAGTTTACATCACGGAAGTGATCAGCGCACGTTCTGCATGCAATAAAACCAACCAGGGCAGTAAAGGTTTGCACTTCCGCTCATGAACTTCAAAATAAAACCGAGTTACTTTCAAATGTTAGACACATATGACAAATCGATAATAACTTGCAGGACAGGAGTAACGTTCAAGAAGCACAGTCCACTCTGGTGAGATGTTGAGGGCTATCAAGACCAAAATCTTACGCCACAAAAACAACCCAACAGTGACACTCTACTATTACAGTTGACACAACACACACTCTATATAAACACTTGTGTGTAGACACAACACCCACACACACTATACTACAATATGTAGCAGCCCCATATATATTTTTAGCTGCTACATTCTATACTCTATCTGCATGTTTAAACATGTATATATTTTTATCTAAAGCTCTTTGTAAATATCCATATCTGTACAGTTATTGTATTGCACTCCAGAGTACCTACTCTATTACTTTACCGTTATTACACCCTATCTTGTACCTATTTCAGCTCATTTTTCTATCTTATCATACACTTATCTCAACTACTTCTTATTGTTTGAAAAAAATCTCAAATATTGTTCTTGGCATACCACAAGGACGCAAATTCCTTGTATGTTTCTTAAGCTGCTTACAACTGAAGGCAGGCTGATGAGACTGGGGCAGCGGGCAGTGCGGTTGGGCGTTTTTTCTTTCCTTTGGGTTTTCGTGCTGCTCCTTGTCACTTTCACTGTCAGAGACCCATCTTTTTGTGGTTCTGTTGAACAGAAGAACTATTGTAAGGAATGTGATGACTAACAAGTAGCTTTATATGATTTTAGTGTTTATCTAACCAAGTTGTAAATATTAAAGATGAGCAAATTGATGAAATCACCATATATATATTGAGTAATCATTTTCTTTTCATGACCAGTAGATGGTGCTAAACTCACTTAAACAAGTGTCCCACAACACACACACACACACACACACACACACACAACAGAGTTTGCGGTGATTGGTTTGGTACACAGTAGGAGTGGAAAAAAAAAGAAATAATTTGTTAGATACATCGTGATTCTGAAAACGTAATAATCGGAAATTTAAGACTCAATTCTCACGTGATGATTCTGTGACACCGGGCTGTCCCTTCCTTACCACTGTCCCTGAACACAACAGACGTAATACACGTGTGTCTTGCTTATGTTCTAAGCTAGGCTAAATACTAGCGAGCAGCCGTAAATGGATACAATCCAACCGGTGTATGGAAGCATTTCGCTTCTTCTTCCGCCCAACTTGGGAACGATGAAGCAAATCACGAACTAGACTGCAGTTGTGGGCCGTCAGGGCCTGCAAAGCCTTCTCTGCTGGCCTAAACAGAATCACAAAGTTAGAGCTATTTTATAATTTAATAATTTTTCTTAAATGCACACATGTATTATAATTTATAATTTTTTTTCCCCATTATCTTATTTTCTCATTGCACAGCTACTATCTTCCTCAGTTGCTCTGCTTCCAGTGCAGCTTGTTTTAAGTAGAGCTTTTATCCAATCAGATTTCACCTCTGTGCCTCTAGGTAAGAAGAGAGGCCCGAGGCCTGCAGACTCACAAGTGAATCCCTTTGCAGTTTAAGTGAATGGGGACGATATTGTTGATTGTCATTAGAATCAGAATCAGAACCGTTTATTGCCATGGTATGTTGAACATACAAGGAATTTGACATGACGGGAGGTGCATAACATTTAACAACAATCAACAACATCAACAGTGCAAAGTAGAAACATATTAAATTTACAGAAAATATAAAATAAAGTAAAATATAAAATGAAGAGGAATATAAAATAAAGTGAAATATTAAATAACGTGCACAAACGAACAGATAACAGGACTATAAACAAGTGAGATGTAAGTGTAGTGTAAAAGTGTCGAGTGTAATAGAAGGGATGTGCAGGGGAGTGACCGGTAGGAAATTGTCCCGGGGATGACAGAGCCAGTGGGGGTCCCGGGCTCTGTTAATGAGCCCGACTGCCGACGGGAAGAAACTGTTCATGTGTCGTGAGGTCTTGGTCCTGATGGACCTCAGCCTCCTACGAGATGGAAGGGGCACAAACAGTTTTTGTCCAGAGTGAGAGGGGTTGGCTACAATCCTTCTTGCTTGCTTCAGGGTTCTTAAAGCGAACAAGTCCTGGAGGGACTGCAGATTGCAGCCAATCACCCTCTCGGCAGAGTGAATGATGCGTTGCAGCCTGCCCTTGTCCTTGGCAGTGGCTGCAGCGTACCAGACTGTGATGGAGGAGCAGAGGATGGACTCAATGATGGCTGTGTAGAAATGCACCATCATTGTCTTTGGCAGGTTGAATTTCTTCAGCTGCCTCAGGAAGTACATCCTCTGCTGGGCCTTCTTTGTGATGGAGCTGATGTTAAGCTCCCACTTGAGGTCTTGGGATATGATGGAGCCCAGGAAGCGGAAGGACTCCACCGCGTCGATGGGGGAGTCACACAGAGTGATAGTCATAGTGTTCAACCAATCAGATCTTTAGTTTGACATGTTGGGCGTATTCTTTGACATGTCAGAGCCTTCTAGCTGGCCTACAAGTACGTGATTGGTCAGTGGGCTAGCGTGACATGTTGGGCGGTGACAATCCCAATATCTGCTGCCTCTGCCGAGCGGACATTTTCAGCCTCAAACGCATTAAAACGTATTCAAGAAATACAACTGGGGAGGCTCGACTGTCTTCACTGACGTCCATGAATCGAGAAGGACTTCTTACTGGAACTAAAACGCACGGATGTACTGAACAACCGTGAGATTAAACTCTTTGTTAACAAAGAAAGGAGGAAGAACTTTGTCTTTAAATAGTGAACAGCAACTCTGGTAAGTTAAATGCGTTTGTTTTTACATCTGCAGTAGCTATAATATGCTTGTTTATATATTATTATTTGTACATTTTGTTTGGTTTAATATGTGATAGGAATCTTTGTTACGTCCAATGTTGCTCTGGGGACATATTTAGCGGGTGCCAGTGTTGCCAACTTGGCGACTCTCTCGCTAAATCTGGCGACTTTCCAAACCCTCATGGCCACTTTTTTTGTCAAAAGCTACTAGTGACAAATCTAGCGACTTGTTCTGGTGTTGTTGGAGACTTTTGTGGTGTTTTGACTGTTAAAGCAGGTACATTCGCACTGTCGTGAACGAGCAGCGGGTGCTGCCGTGAGCCCCTCCGCCGCCCCAAAGCACACACAGGCGCATCGCGCTGCAGTCAGAGCAGAGAGGAGACACACTATCTATAGGTGTTGGCTTCATTTTGACACGAAACAGATAATAACCGTAGCTGTGTTTCAGCTGCAGGACAGCAGTGAAGGCCCAGGTATAAAATGCATGGCCCGCCACTGCTAGACTGTATTGTGGATAAGATCAGCTTGTTATGTCAAATGACTCAGAACATGCTGAATTCTGTGTTTTCACTACGAGGATGCTGCTACAGGGCAAATTTGATTTATTTTCTTGTTGGTTCCCTTTGCAAAGCTTGGTCAAAAAAGCCATCTGAAATCTGTGTGAAATTTGTGAGTGAAAATATGTCTCTCAAGCACCGCCTACGAGTTGGACAGGCGACGCCCCTCGGCCAGTATCTCCGATTTTCTTGAAATTTGACACACATGTCCAGCTCTGCCAGCTGTACAAAAAACCCTCTTGGACCCCTGAACTCTGGCTGACGTTACACTGGGCTTGCAATATAATGGCGGAATCCTAGACAACGTAGTCTATATCAGGCAGACACATAGCTGACAACCTTGCAGCAAAACTAAGTGACGCGGTGGAGACTTAATGTAAAAGTAGCTGCATATATCCACGACAATGCACGTAAAAGCGTGGCTGCTAACTGTAACAAATACATGAACTCTGTCATTTGGGGCAGCAACTCACTCCCACAGTTATCTGTCAACGTCGGCTCTTTCCTCAGTTCACTACGGGTGAATTTTTTAACGGGTCGTCCATCAAAACCTTTTTCATTGTCAACAGTTTTGCTCCGGTGAGCCGCCCAACATGCGGGTGTTTGCGACCCACCTGTACAGAAAGGAAGTGGTGTACGCCGTGCTGGTCCACAGTCCGGCCAATCAGGAGTTCTCAAAATATCCTTTGCTAGCCGACGACCCAAACGCTCTCTGTGCTTATGAAGATGGATGTTTCATCTGGAGGTGTGAGGCCATGTGTGACACACATACGTGAGTATTAACCACAGACACTGAACTATCCTACTGTTATTACTGACACCTGAACTAACCACAGACACTGAACTATCCTACTGTTATTACTGACACCTGAACTAACCACAGACACTCAGCTGTCCTACTGTTATTACAGACACCTGAACTAACCAGAGACACTAGACTGTCCTACTGTTATTACGGACACCTGAACTAACCACAGATACTAGACTGTCCTACTGTTATTACTGACACCTGAACTAACCACAGACACTCAACTGTCCTACTGTTATTACAGACCCTGAACTAACCACAGACACTCAACTCTCCCACTGTTATTACAGACACCTGAACTAACCACAGACACTCAACTGTCCTACTGTTATTACTGACACCTGAACTAACCACAGACACTCAACTCTCCTACTGTTATTACCAGTGGCGGGCTGTGCATTTTATACCTGGGCCTTCACTGCTGTCCTGCAGCTGAAATACCACCTTATAACCACATTATGGCACACAGCTATTATTCATTTTTAAGGCTGTAACGATGTACATCTTCGTATTAAACCATTCGGTACGAGTCGTTTGAATAATGCTAGAGCATTTAGTGAATGCAAAAGCCTAAATTCATGAAAATATAATGTTCTCAGCTGGTCTGGCTGTG